CGGATATCATGAAAGTCGTTAAAACTATAATGTCCAAACCCCAGTAAGCAGTTATGAGTGCCATTTTGGTTTACCTATAAAAAATATATTTTTGTATTTATACAGAAGCAGATGACATTATATTTTAATAATATATATCGCGAAATAAAGTAATATTATAATTTTTATTTATTCAATTGTATTATCGTATTATTAATTGCATTTAGAACAAGATCTGGAAGTCCTGGAAAAATGAAGCTTAATTGATTGATAAATAAATGAAATACATATCGATCTTAGATAACTATTATTAATCATGCTGATCTTAAGTTAGTTTCTTGATTTCTATTAAAATTGTGACAATATAGGTTTTTTAAAATAAAATTTGCCATCTTTATAGTAGTTTTTCGAAATAAAAACGATAATAAAATCTTTTTTTATTTAGTATTTTTCGATTGCAAATTTGCAGTATTTCCGATATATTTAGGAAGTTTGCATGATATCTCCTCTTCCTTTTCACTCTTATTCTCATTTATGATGATTTAATGTTTTGTTACTCTACAATATTACTTTATCACTTAATAAAATCAAAATTTTGATTGAAAACTCATCAGGAAAATTTAATTCGATCCCCTTTCTTTCTGTTTAAAATTTAAATAAATATGATATAATAAAGCTGTTTCTCTGTGATTTATTAAAATTTTATATACTTTTGAAAAATTAATCTCTAATTGATATTCTATTTTTCAAGTACTGTGATATGGATTTAATACTAAAGACTCAATTTTTTGTTTCTTTCTATATGCTGCGCGATGTCATCTGCAAGTAGAAACGCAAGATTGTGAGAAGATTACACATATAACTTTGTGTACATTTTGTATATATTTTCACGTATACTCTCTTAGTTTCCTTAGATCCTCTATATTTTCTATTTTTCAGCAAACTTCATTAGTTCTGTTTCGTTTTAACAAATCCATTAAAATAATTTTATTATTGTATTGTATTATAACGGAAAGTTGCACTAAAATCGTACTACTTAAAGAATTTTGGATTATTGAGAAAATTGGTATGATTATTTAAAAAACTATTGGCAAATGATAGAGCGACATCTTATTTAAATATTTTGAAGCAATAAATAACGTATCTTATTATATATATATATATATATATATATATATATATATATATATATATTCTATGCAATTGAAAGTGATCAAAAATATGATTTTGGTAAATAATTTTTTAAATACCGTACTCATCGATCTCCAAAATCGTACCTATAAAATTTGGTTTAAAAACAATAATTGTTAAGAAAAGGATATATTTATGAAACACATTTGGTGCAGTAATAAACCGTATCATTTTTTATTTAATACTCTTCCGCAAGTTTCATGTACCCATATTTTACTCTCAAAGCATTACATCATATTTTCTAGACGGACTTCATTACATAAAGCATAAAAATAAATTTTCTTTATTTATCTAATTTTCTTTATTTATCATTACATTCAAAGACTTGTTGATAGATTATTTAAGACAACTTTAAGATTTTTTTTGTGTTCATTTTCATTAAACCGCGTGATAGTACGATTTCCGAAATTCTTCAACGTTTTATAAAATGTTTAATTTAATCTAAAAATAAATCGGAATAAACTTTATAAAAAATTAAAAAATAATAGAAAGTAAAATTATATTAATATAGAAGAAAATATAATTAAATCATTTGCAAAAGAGATAATGATTATTACATAATGGTTATAAATAGATAGTGGTATACATATAATTGAAAAAAAAAACCATCAATCTTGATTTTCTAGTCAACTAAGAAAGCACAGATAACATGGTCTTACAAAGGATAAATTATATAATAGAAATTGTAATCTAACTTTCAAAATATACTACTAAAGAAACCACTGTTGCTCGCAAATGTTAAATAATAACAGGAAATTACATGGGATACAATTTAGGAGACCAGTATGCATTGGCAACTTTTTTTATATATCATTATTAATAAAAGTAATATTTAGATACATTTTTCTTATTTTATAATCTTAAAACTTTTCGATTTTTAATATTAGAAATAATATTAGAATATTATTTATTAAATTTTATATTTTGGTCACCGGTAACCGACACGGCCTAAAAATTTATCGTCGATCACCAGTGATCATGGCATTTAACGTGTTAAATGAATCATTGTTAAAATTGAAAGCACACAAGGATTATCATGATTATTATAAACTTGTTTTTCATTCACATAAATTACTCGATAAAAGAAATAACCCCGATTAGGAAACTATATTGTAAAGGTAGTTTGATTACTGCATGGTAATTGAGGATATTTATTTAATATGAAGAGAATCATTTTATTTCAAGAATAATTGATCATGTTGGTGTTCGACTTTAAATAATGCCTTCATTAGAATATATTGGAGATTACAGCAAACTTATGCAAATTTAGAAATAAATAATTTGTCAGCTTATTTTAATCTATAAATAATCAATTGTTACGATTTAATATCAATAATTGCAATAATAAACATTATTTTATTCTTATTTTCTTAATTAATTGATATTAGATTTAAGTTAAAACAATAGCACACAGGATGAAAGAGAATGATGTATCTAGCCGTACGTTTTTCTATCAAATATCAAAGATACAAAATTAATGAATCGAGAAATATTAGAGAACAAGAGCAGTTTAACGTCATTTTTAAGAATATGCAATAAATAGTTTCTATTAAAACTCTAAATAAACTTAAAAGGATCACATAAAGTTAAATTAAGATCAATGTTTTTCTTGAAATTAATTTTGAAAACATTCTCTTTCGACAAACTATTAATATTTTTAATATATTCTCTGTAAACACATAAACTATTTATATTTTTAAAATATTCTTTTTACACACACAAACTCCTATTAATATGATTGAAAATAGAAAAAATCTAAATAAATATTAGATTAAAGTTTAATAAATTATCAATAAAGAAAAATACGAAATGTTTAAAAAATACGTTTTTCAGCACAATGATTCAGAATACGAGTAGAGTTGCAGAAACAACTTTGAACTTCTGTATGACACATGCAATTGCATTTATATATTGTAATGTTCTTGCCTTCCTGTTTTTTTATCGGCAAACATTAATCATGTTCACATAATAGTAAGCATACAAGCGTTAATTATTGTTATGTAAACTTCTGTTTCATAAATAGATCTACAAGTCTTAAACAACGCATAATTAAATATGTTCCACAATAAAAGTGTTTGTTACAATAAAAAATTTATGGATTATTATATATTTAATTTTATTTTTGAATCCAAATTAATAATATATATTGTTACATTGTTATATTTTTATATGGTTTCCTGATATTAAAAAAACTGAAACTGACTTACGTGTCCTAAACAATTAATATGCTTCCATTTGCATTTTTATATCCATATTTATAGCTCAGAGAAAGAAAGTGAAAGAATTTATCTGCTTTAGTGATTAAAAATCCGTAACTTTTTTTGTAATATTGTAAAAATATTTATATAATATCATAATAATATTTTAACAAATTATCGAAAAGTTTAACAAAAATATTGTTAAGTCTAATAAATATATAAGTACATATTACATATAATAAACAAATATGTGTTTATTATTTAAAATATAAAATAATCATAATATATGATTATATTAAATAATCATAATTATTATGATTATTTAATTAATACATAATTAAATAATCATAATAATATTTACAAAAATAACATATTAATATAACAAATATAAATTATACTTAATTATATTATAACAAATATAAATATAATTCATAATATTATTCATAATATTTTTTATAAATATCATTTTTTTCATAAAACAATTTATATAATTAATAAATAGTAAATAATCAAATATTACATATGTGTAAATAATTAATTATAATAAATGAGTAAAATATTCCAAAAAAATTAGAAATAAATTCTAATTTCCAAAATAATTAAAAAATGAATAATATATGGCTAAATATAGTTTTTCAAATAACTTACATTAAAGTTAAGTACATAAATAAATTAAATCAATTCTGGTTCTGGCAAAACATTAAAGATTTAGATATTGAGAGTGCCACAATGCGGAGATTCAGCGATTCTTTATGGTTTTCCATTTTAACGGAAAGTATTTCAAATTTATTTGTATTCTAAAATGGTGAAAAAAATTCAGGAATATATCGTTACATCGCTGAGTAGTAACAATCGCACCAATGACGGTTTTTACTTTTAAAATTATTTATTAAATTGGCCTTATCACGTCGTTCCGATTGAATTCGTATATTTTTACGGTTTTAAATAGAATTGTACAGCAATCTTATATTTTTATTATCAATATGTTTATATATTTTATTTTATCTCATGTAATTTATCGAAATGTTAATGTTATATTTATTTAATTATTGTGTTTTACTGAAGAGAGTCCGTTAAATGTCTAATTCTTTATCTGGATTTTTAATGAATATTAAAGATTTTTTTTAAATAACTGCGCTCTAATTATTACTATGTTTCTTTAGAAAAGATCCTAAATAGCAGTTCTTTTACTTTTTATGATTTATCTTGTGGAGAATTTATCTTAATTATAATTTGAATACATGATACCATTATAATTTCTTGATTTGTATTATTTATATAGATTAATTCATACAGATTTCGAGTTAAATATATAATAATAATTTCTTTATTTAAATTTAAAAGTATTCCATTTAAATATGTATTAAGAAAAAATATTAGAAAGAAATATAAATTAATATCTTAACATTATCTTATCATATCCTATCATTAAACCTGCAATGGAATAATAAATAATAGATAAATAATGAATATAATTTCAAATTTAACAGCAAAGAGATAATTCTTTAAAAAACAAAATCTATTTGATTTTGAATTTGATTACCTATGATTAAAAGATGGCTATGCTAAAAGTTAATAAAACTTGTGATTAAATGTTAATAAGTTATACAAACTATTTTATAATTGATTGATTTAAATATGCATGACATTCCGGGATGATTTTGAATAATTTAATTTAAGTTTGGCATGTTCCTTAAATCCGAAGTTTGCCGCTCGATTTAGATCCTTATGAAACATCGCGTTCATGACAGGAAAAACACCCGGCAATTTTGTCAAATAGAGGAATTGAAACTTTAACAGTTTGTACACTATTCTGTCCCAAAAATTGAGAGAACTGTACAGACGAGGCATTTTAAGTTTGAATATGTCGCAAAGATAGAGCAGAAAGACTTTGTAACTGCTCAAAGAAGAAATTGCAGCGATGCCCTCGTAGAGGCATAGGGTCATGTGTTCCCATTCCGCCGTTACTGTGCGCAAGTTTGGTTTCACCCAATATTCAATACAATCTTCGATACGTTGACGTATATCTTGCAAACTGCCGCGACAGAAGTTGTATTGATCTTGCATGCCCAACAGGTAACCCAAGCCGCGCCAGAGATGACAGAAAGCTTCCAGATCTTCGTCGCTCGCATCATATATTCCGAATTGTTCTGGATAGAGTACTATCAAACCCATGCAGGCAAATTGCGTGCCAAACATGTCGCCCTGATTCAATCCCTTTATCCTTGACATCGTAAACGGGCATTGTCGGCTCTTCGCCAACGGACATGCATCCGCGAAATCCTTCGCGATTGTTTGAAACATCGGGCATTTCATATATGACATTTTGCTAGCCAGATCGATCTCATCGTCGCTCATGCTACATAACTTCTGTCGCATGGCGCGATGCAACTTTCGTACCACCTGAATGTCGTGATAGGCTTGCGTTCCTTCACACCAAGGATCACTCGTGTACCAATTCCTGAAACGTCTGATTGATGACAAGTAGCGCTTGAAAGCGTTATATGGTATGTTGGATTTTTGACTAAGGATCAACGGTTTCAATCCATCGGCAAAACTAAACGACAGTGGTATACTTATCAAATTGCTTAGGGAAATTGCGCAGAAATAACGCAAAGCGAATTGTTGTCCGCGGTAAAATTTGTTCATATCCAACCAATCCGGTCTCTCGTTCGCCGATCGACCGCAATCTCCATCTTCGAAGGTCGCCGGCAAGATAGATCTCAGGGATTTGGGTATGTTCGGGAAATATTTGCTAGTATTGCTTATGAGATGGTCATATTGCTCTTTGAGCGTCCATTGATTGAAATCCATTGGCAAATCGTCACTGAGTTCCTGTTTGCACATTGTTATGAATTTCTTGTGCTGATCGGTAAGAAAGTTCACTGAAACAAGAACCGATTTGTCGCAATCATCATTAGTAGATTTAAAGTTGTTCATAAAGTCGCTGTTCTTCTGAATCTCTTCCTTCAGAGCGACGTCGTTCTTTGCGTAGTCATTCAATAAATTCTCGTCGAAAGATCGTTTTAATTCTTTAGATTGTAACATTGTGACGATTCGTTATCTTGTAAGGATCTTGTGCAAAATTCCGAATGCTAAATCTGTTTTTGGGGAAATAGAAAACATTTTTAAAAACAAGTATAAAATAAAAATAAGTTTTCGTCACTTTTAATTTTTTAAATGGAACTCCTATTTTATGTTACTACCTATTTTTTTATATTCTTGTAGCTTATCTCAAGAGCTTCCAAAACATTATAAAGTATTTTTTCATTAAGTAGTTTTTGAGTTATAAGGCTTGAAATAATTTTTTTCATTTTACATAAATTATAAAATATCTCATAAAATATTCATTTTTTGATTATCTTATCTCAATACTTTTATACATAATGAGAAGAATCAATTGGTTTAAAAAATCAGTTATTATAAGAAAAAATATCTACTTGTCAAATACAAATTACACACTTATGTAATAAGGAATTCAGCTATAAAATGATATTGCTGCTTATTAGTTTATTTCATACATTGTGGATAATATGATATCTTAAAGATATTTCTTGATATATAAGATATCTCAAAGATTTTTTTATTTTTTAAACCATATTATTGTTAATTTATAATAAATTTTATAAATAGATACTTAGCTCCTAACTAATTTATTTTATATATTAAGAAAAATTATGAGGAAAAAATGACTTTGTTAAATAGTCAATGAATAGATGTTGACCTGTTGCAAAAATTCATATTTTTGTTTTAAAAACAACTTGGTGTTTTTCTACAATTGATTCCTCTCATTATTTTATACATACATTTTATACATTATTTTTTAAAGTTATGCTCATTTTCATGACACCCTGTATAGTCAAATGCTTACGCCCCGATTCTTTTTCTTTTCAGCTAAATGTTGTAGAACGATCGCGCCGATTACACATGCAGGAGTGAAATTAGTGTACTTGCTTATTCACTTTAGTATTTCTTGTTTTAGTTTTTTTGTATCTATGTCTAATTAAATTGTATATTGACGTAAATGTATATATTGATCTACTGATAGCGAAGGATGTAAGAGAAGACAGGTGTGAGAGGAAAGAGAAAGGGGGGAAAAGGATGGAGGAAATATTAAGGGAAAGATGGCAGGAATTTTTGAAATTGGTTAGCATTTATTGAGAATAAGCTGTAAGAATTATCTAGGAATTTCGTGTTGTTGTGTATATTTAATCCAGTTTTTGTTGGCAGATATACACCATTTCTGCCACTAGTCTTTCCCTATATGAAGACTCTTCATATAGGATCTAGAATTGTTGTGTCTCCCCACTTAAAATCATGGCCAAGTAATTTGTGTGTTGATAACACTGTTAAGGAATCCAAAGATCTATTAAAATTAGCTTAATGCTCTTTAATTCTAGTGATCAATTATCTATTTCTATCCAACCTACGAAGCACAATTCTTTACATATAATTTTATAAATTACGTTAGAATGATTCCATTTTGATAAGGAATCTTTATGTAACTTAATGAGCTTGTTTAACTTATTATTGATTGTAAACGCTAATCTTTTATTTTGTATAATTGAATAGAATTTTTTTGGAATGTTTGGAATGTTTTGTACAAATGAGATAATAAAAAATGGATGGGAATTGGAATGATGATACGGAGAGAGTGACAAACTGGAATCTCTGTTTGAAATAAGAAACTGTAATCTACGAGAAATAACTAACGCGAAATAAATACATTCTGAGATTTTCTCTTATATATTTATTGTTTTCTATTTCTTCAATTATTTATCCGTTAATGTTAATTATAGAATATGTTAATTATATTTAAGGATTAAATTATTATTTGATATATTTGTTACAAAGTAAATGCAGGAGCAAGATAAAAAATCCAATAGATCATATTTTACTTAAAGTTAAAACGCAGAAAAGATAAAGAAAGATAAAGTTCCTCTTATTTATGCAATGTGATCATTATATAAATATGTAATGAAGAGTTTATACTCAATTCAAACTTCCACATTTGCGTAATGCTCATTAGCATGTTTAAATAATTTTTAAATAAATAATGAGCGACGATTTGTTACTAAAAATCTTTTCAAGATTATTTAGAATTATCAGCTTGAAAATATATGCTGAAGTCAAGATCTTATTTTCTGCTGACATATCATCTTCATGTTTTCTTACACATCGCGCAAATGTAATTTAACAATTATTGAATTTTAAAATATTACAATACTATATAGCAAGATCAATTTGTAAATTTTTATAAAAAATTATAAAATATAAAAATCCTTTTTTAAAGAATCATATCATGGATGGTTATAAATTTGATTTTAAAAGAATTTTAATATTGCTTAATTTTATTTTTTTTTAATTTTCTAAAATAATATAGAGAAAAAGGAAGTATTTCGAAAAATATATACATAGAGACAAAAAGAATACAAAAGAGTCATACTTAATAATGTCCATTTTAATTTGATATCTATTTGATATCTATCAATACATTGATCCTTTCATAAGTAAATCGAACTCTTGAATTAAATCTCTTATTTATGCATACAAATTCTTTGATAGTAGGGAACAACGCACTCTGTTTAGATACTTCAATCATTTATATATATAAACTTGTTTACCAGTTTCATCGAGCACGTTAAGGAATTTTTTTTAAGTTTATCTCTTATTTTACCACGAGTTCGTAAAGCGCAAGTCATCATGTTATGGAAGATATTTTATAATTGTTGAAAAAAAATATGATTGTTAGACCATTAAATTTTTTACTTTTTTCAGTCAAATTTGTTTAAATTTTTAAGATCTACTGCTTACGTTTTCTCTTTCTTTCTGTCACATTTTAATCTTATTAATATTATACACTTATTAATAAATACATTTTTGTGAAAAGATATTATTATTTTACGCATAATATATTTAGCTTATTGAATTTCTTGATATTTACATCGTAATTTATAACATATGTGATAATATTAACTACTTATTGTTTTTAATACATTAGTTTATTGTTAAATTATAAAACATTATTAAATTATATTAAAACAATAGTCATCAGACGCAGAATAAATATACGATACGATATACGCCATCAAATTTATATACTTTAATACCTCGAGTTTCTACTTATTTTATAATATTATTCACCATTCATAATACTTCATGTTATACACACTCATCTTTTAATGAGATTAATTATTAAGTGATTTGTATTGTTATATTGTATTAACTGATAAAAGATTATTTATGTATGTATCCGTCGATAAAAAACAGATGTATATTTAAGTATTCCGCTATCTTTTCGTAAACTCATGAGAAAAATTTAATTTGTAATTATTATATGACAGTTAATAAGTATTTTCATAAGTTTCTCGTTATTTCATTCTTGTCAATGTTCAAATTTTTCTTATTGTTAGAACAGTATGCGTTTTTTCTCAAAGAAATGTACACGTAACTTATTTTACATGCTTTTTCAATAATCTATACAGTCTTTAATTTATTTATTATAATATTTTTATATAAAACATTATATTCTTTTCCATTGCGCATTACTAAAAAAGTTTTAATTTAAAAAGTTTAATTATAATAAATATGACATTAAAAGAGCTAATAATATTTTTGTAGCAATTAGTATATCGTTAGATCATATTTTTTAATATATAATAAAGAATATATCAAGATTTTATTAAAAATTTGATTTTACGACATAAACTAATTGATTTGCTGCTTATAAATGTTGCCGATGACTCATAAAATTATAAAACAGTGATCTTAGAAAATTATGTAATTGATAAATATTGTAATTATCACTCTTTAATCGATAACAAATCGTTATGATAGATTTTATATGCAAAATACATAAATAGCAAATATTTATATAAAACACGTGTGCGAAAAAAACTTCTGCTTCTTATATAATCTTATATAATGAATATGATATATGATATATGAAAGATAAATATTACTCACTATAATAAAATCAAATATATATTCTTATTATTACAAATATGCAACATCACTAAACTACTAAACTACTGATTTGCTACAATGCAACGAGTGCTTTTATAATAGTAATACTGCGTAGATTAATCTTGTATATTCTAAGATATCTATATTTCTTTCTTTATTTAAATCTTTTTACAAGCGCATGTTGACACCATTATTTGCATCATTAGCGTATATATACGCGCATCTTTTGTGGTCATTATCACCGCAGCGTATATATATATATATGCGCAATTGATTTGGTTATTTTTATCAAAGCGCATTGTTTTCTTATATGATATTATGAGTTGAAGATTGACTGAGATTAACTTTTAATAAATTAAAATTAAATATAATTAATTAATTAAAATTTTATTTTGTTTGATTTCAGTGAAATGGCCGATATATATGCACAACGGGATGGCCACGAGACCGCCGACAATGGGAACGTTAGCAACGTAGTCAGTAATCGGCGATGATATCAGAAACCGTTTGCGACGCAACTGACGATAATATTTTTTAAACAAAGTTTTATCTGAAGTTGATTAAACGTTCTATTTTTTATATTTAAGTTAAGAATAGTAACAAAAAATTGAAGATAATAGTGAACATTTTGTGAGAATAACTCAATCAATTGTTTTTGTATAACATAGAGTGTACAAGAGTGATTAAATTATAATTTATAAATACGTATATACAATATATCATAAAAAATATTAATTAAGCGATTGATATTTCTTTTTGTGCAAACAATACACTTATGTGTGATTTTAACATGCAAGACATTCACATTGTTTACAAATAGATATTCGGTTTTTTAAAAACAGATTCGGTTTTCAAATATTTATGATAAAATATTTATAAAATATGTGTGTGTGTGTACATATATTAAAATAATTAAGAATACAAGAGTTTTTGAAAAATAAAAATAATAAATACAAAGTTCATCTTAAAATATATCTTGTGAAATATTACTAGAAACTAAGACATACGTAGCAAAATATTTTTCAAAATATCAAATAACAATTTTGTATATCTTAGAATAAATCTAGATATTAGTTTATTGTTTTATCTAGATATTTGTTATTAGTATAATATATTAGTTAAATTGTCATCTTTCGTT